ACTCCTAATTCTCCCCATCCTCCCCCTATCTTTCTACTTGATTTCAAGTGCCCTAGGGCCACTCGTTAACAAAACCCTGTTATATTATGCTGCAAAGTTTTAACACTAAATCAAGCAACTGCAACTACAACTGCAAGCGACAACTACAACTGGAGCTGTATGTAACTGGAAGTTGCATGTCAATTACAGTCCCATGATGTTTTTGAGAATTGCAACCAAAGATGTGTTTACAGTTCCATTTTGCAAAATATATCAAGTTATAGCTGTTTGTTTTACTACAACTGCGATGCTTTTTATGCCACAATTTCAAAAATGAGTCTCTTTTGCCCGAGGCCTTGTGATTGATTTGGCTGTAAGTTTGTTTTCACAAGAAATGGTCCATTTTGCCAATCTAACTATAAAATTACTGCAGTTAAAGTATAACAAACAGCTATAATTGTATTTTACAAATGGCAACAGTAGTTGTAGTTGCACTTTTTTGTGATAAAAAATCATGTTTGATCTAAAGCAAAAATGGTCCATAATAATAACTTAATAGGGAAAACTGGTAAATAAATCATAGGAATCACATAAATAAATCAAACCCAGGTTCCAACCAATTGCACTTAATCGTAGTCGTAGTTAAATACAGGGTAAATCAATAATGAAAATTTTGGGGTTTTTGTCTTTTAACCCAAAGTTTTACCATCACTTATTTAAAAACTCGCCCACTTCCATAACTACCCATACACCCGAAGTACCCCTTGTGACTTAGTTATAAACCCACCTAGTTATCTAATCTCAAACTTCATATTGTATTTTTCCAACAATTGTAAAATCCAAAGTTGCCTTTCTTCCCCAAATAAACTCAACGGTTCTCTCTTTTTCTCTCTTCCTTTATTTACAAAATACTAAACTCAAAGAGCCGATCCCCAAATTCTAGGTGAAGTTAATCCCTAAAATGCAGTGGACAACATGATCGGTGTTTAGAAGAAGAGAGAGGAACGGGTTTTTTTTTTTTGAGATACACTATAAAGTTTGAGGGTATACTATACATTGGATTTAAAAATAAGTCATATGGGATACTTTGGGTGTATGTGTGTTTATGGAGGTGAGTGGGCTTTTAAATAAGTGAAGGTAAAACTTTGGTTAAAGACAAAAATACCTAAAATTTATTTCAAGGTCAATTGTTCTTGGTTATAGTTCAAATATGCTCATAAAGTTCAAGTAATATGCAAGGCATGATATTTGAAAATAACTGAATATCAATTAGATCATGACGGCTTGAAACTTACTCGCATAGGAAAGCATCTGCCTCATCAATAAAAAGCAAGAGACCTTTTCTTGATTTTTTCGCCCAATCAAATATCTGATGTATCTTGGTAACAGCTTCAGAACCCAAAGGTGCTACATCACCCCCTGTCATCATTGCATAATCCAAACCCTGTAAATTGATAGAGAATACAGTAAATGGAGAAGCTATAGTATATATAAAGCACTTATCTAAGCAAATGATATCACAGCAATATCTAAAATTTAAAGGACAATCTTATGAAGAGCTACACATCTGAAGCCTTTCAATTCCTTTTTTCCCGTAACTCTATTACATATAAACAAGTAAATTCCCTAGATTAGTAGCTTCAACTCCGAGAATCTTCACCATTCGACATATAACTCCTTTTAGAAAAGACATTAGAACTGCTTCCAAGGAAGAAACTTCACATTCTACTCTTTAAAACTAAAAGTGCTTGTCATGAAACATTAGTATTGGAGTTAGCTATGTTTGAAGAGTCTAGATAAGAATAGAAAAGTAGGAAAGAAAGTTCAAATAAGATCCATAACAAATTTCATAAAATGAAGAGAATAAAATTGAGAATCCCAAATAGAAATTAGATCGCTCGAGAGATCATGTAAGGGGGAAAAGAACAAAGATCATATTTGTAGACTATTAGATTTTGTCTGGAAGAGAAGGTAAATATATGATTTCTCCAAAACACAACGTTTGACTTGTACTTCTCTAAAAAATTATTTTTTAATTGATTACCCAGTGTTTATGTACCATGAATATGAATATATACTATAATAAAGTTGGTCAGGCATGAAGACATGCATATTGGACATAGACAATTTCGTTGACACTCTTTAGATATGTTTCAGACATTTATCATCAGTTACATTTGAATTTATGTATACATGAACTGCATCATGGACTGAAAGAAATTTGCAAGACAGATGGTGAGGCAGCATTTTACCGATTTTCGAGCCATCTCCTTTGCCACCATAGTTTTTCCAGTACCAGGAGGCCCATAGAAAAGCATATTACGGAAAGGAGCTTCATGGGATTTTGTGTTTTCTGTAGCTCGAGCAAGTTGTTCAATCCTCCTATGCAGTGAAGGGTGAAGAATAATGTTGTTAAAGCTCGTTCCACCTTCAGTAGATGCAACCGTACTAGACGTTATCTTTTTTGCAAACTTCAAAGCAACTCCTGACCAAGGAAACTTTGCTATTGATGATTCACGGATCAGTGAAGGCTGACCCAGTAATCTATTGACGTAGCCCCACATGACCTTAGCACCTTCCCTGCGAAATTCCGTAACTAATATCAGCAAAGAGATTTGGAGAAAGAGGATAACAGATCATTAAGATGAGAATTTTGACAGTCAACCTAGTTGTGTAAACACCGGCAGCTAGTGCAGTGACTCCACCAACAGCCATGATCAATTTGCCTCGATCAGTCAGCAACATCCGAAAACCGCCTACAAATTCAAGAAAAAATTGGAGAACAATGCTAAATCAGCCTCCTTTTCTCTCATGCTAAATATCTCCTTCTAAGGGAACCTAGAAAGTAGCTCACAAACAAATGTACAAGCCTAGATGTAGAAAAGCATGACGAAATTAAAGCAGGCTCAATTGCAACTTAAGTACCCTATAGTTCCAATTATGTTGCACTTGTATACCCTCACTTGTTTTTGGTAGCACTTAGTATACCCAAAAGTTTTAAAACCTTCATGTATATATCCTTAAATTATAAATTTTTTAACACTTGACCTTAAATACCCTAAAGTTTTTAAAACTTGCACTTAAATAACCTAAAGTTTCTAAAACTTGCACTTAAATATCCTAAAGTTTTTAAAATTTGCACTTAAAAATTTAAAGTAACCTCGGGTTTGCATAACTGAGGGTATGTAAGTGCAAGTGTTAAAAGTTGTAAGGTATTTAAGTGCAAGTTTTAGTTTTAAAACCTTTACTTATATACCCTTAAATTTTTAACATTTGAATTTAAATACCCTAAAGTTTTTAAAACTTGTACTTAAATAACCTAAATTTTTTAAAAATTGCACTTAAATATCCTAAAGTTTTTAAAACTTGCACTTAAAAATTTAAAGTAATCTAAGGTTCTTAACGTTTTTAAAACTTGCACTTAAAATTTTAAAGTAATCTCAGGTTTGCATAACTAAGGGTATTTAAGTGCAAGTGTCAAAAGTTATAAGGTATTTAAGTGCAAGTTTTAAAGACTCTAGGGTATATAAGTGTTGCCAAAAACAAGTAAGGGTATATAAGTGCAAGTTTTAAAAACATTAGTGAATATAAGAGCTGCCAAGAAGAAGTAAGGGTATATAAGTGCAAAGTACTAGTGCAAGTTTAGCACTTAGATCTATGAACATATTTCTTCGGATGCAAATCAAAATTTTCAAGAAAAAATTGCTTTATCAAAGAAGTTAAAACTCAGCCATGAAACAACTTTTAAGTATACAGGTTAAAGAAAATATTGAAAGAAAATCAATGAAGTAAAAATAAAAGATAAAACGAATCAAACAAGTGAAAGTTAAGGTTACTAGTCCTAAACCTGAATTCAACAACCTTCTTATGTTTGAACTGGTGCTGAGTAGCCACTTAACCAATAAGCTTAAGCCTATAGATTGTGGCTTAGACCTGCACTATAGAGTGTCAAGTATTTCAAACAGAACAGCTTTGGTTTAAGGATCTCTTGAAATTTTGCTCTCCTCTACCCATAAGCTTACCTTCTGTGCTGCAGTTAACAGCACACAGCAGACAATCGTAAATTTTAAAAGGGAAATTTTTTACTAATTTACTTTGGGAACAAAATAAGATTGACCAGTGAGGTACTCTATGCAACAAGTGATTCTTAATTACAAGGATTAGCGGAATAATGAACTAAAAATTAGCGTCAGTTTAGCACATTAAAATCCAAAATGTGCTGGTAAGGAAGGTATGATCCGTAACTTCATCATCTTTTTCAAACTAAAAGTATTTATATGTTGCTGTAGAAATCAAAGGCTGAAAAGAAACTGATATTAGTATTAGTATATAGGATATAACCTTCAATGTGGCTAAAAGTCGTATTGATCGCAGCAAGCCACTTTTCTTTCTCGCCATTCATGCGTTCTAAAAGCATTCTCTTGTTATGCTCTTCTGTCAGTTTTGCCTCGTGAGCTCGAGCTTCAGCCTCTGCCAGAGCTTTTACTCTTATTGTTTCACGCTCTATCTCAGCTCTCTCTTTTTCTGTTTGGCGGAGTTGTGCTTGAATTTGGTCTTCAGTAGCACGCCTTGCTTGTTCTTTTCTTATTGAGGCCTCTTCTTGCATCCTTACAAGTTCAACATTCTGTCGCCTTTGTGCTTCATGCTCTGTCTGCAAATGAATTATATTAAAGAGAATGCAATTGCAATATTTATCATCACTAGATCATAGAATAAAAAGCAATCTCATCAGCAAGGTGTTCTATTAAGCGCAAATCAGTTTGTTGAACTTTATAATTGAGAATGCATTATGAGTGAAATGGAAAATAAAATGGCCAACTACTCACCTGCATTCTTTTTCTTGCGAGTTCATCTTGATAGCGAGCGTTTTGTGCCTTTGCCTGTGCCTGTTGATGAATAATATTCCTCTGTTCCTCAGCTAATTTTCGCTGACTTTCCTGTAAATAAAAAATATCCTGGTCAAATAATAACTATAAAGAAGTTTGAGGTAACTGTCAGAAGCAAACTGAAAATGCCTCACAATGATCTTTTTCATTGAGCAAGTACAACTGAGACTGCATACTCTTAGAGAAAAATTGTGGTCAAAATGGTATCATTTCTTGCAAGTAATAAACAAGAAATTTGAAAAGAAATAGTACCACTCATTATCCCCCCTTCAATTTTCTCCTAAAACAAACAATTTTCAGAATATTCGTAATCCCCCTAACTGAAGTGTTTTGCCGGGTACTGCTTAACTTGTATATCCTACTTATTGAAGATACACGGTGGTACTAAGTGCATGACCAGATAGAAGGAACCCCTCTTCCTGATCCTAGAAACTTGTAAAAAGTCCATATATGAAAAATGTAGAGATATGTCAATAAATCTCCTAAATACCAATAGAAGGAATGAAAAAGCAGCTAGATACTTGTGCTTTATAAGTTCTGCTACAACAACGTAGTCATCTTTGTTGAGATCCTAAAGCTGATACATCAACATCGTTATACAGTTCACATCTTACACAAGGATATGTATGTGATAGCAACTGCTACTAGAGAAGGGACTTTTAACTCTAAAGCCTAGAGCGCATAAGGCTACAATTTGGCTAGTGGCTAGATACCAAGTCAAACTTTGTAAATCTAACAATAGAATTATAATTAAAGAAACAAGTCTTATAGGTGTTTTTTCGACCAAGTACAATACTTTCTCTCAAAACTGATACATGTTGACTCAATGTGATAAGTAAGCACTTAGTCTTATCTATATCATAACCGAGGAAAAGCAAAAAACCCCTAGAAGGGGAGGCCTAAGTTCTTATTGAATTGAGGCGAAAAACGTTCATCTCCTGAAAACAAGATACTTATTGACAACTCTAACATTGATAGATACATAGCACAATACTAAAGAAGTGGATGGAAAATAACAAATGGCCCTTGAAAGTAAGCAATGTGACGAAGATTATGAATTCGTGCATGACTCAGAAACGGCTCTTGAAAACAAGTAGCATGGCGGAGATTATAACACACAAATGGCTCACGCAATGGAGACTATAACACACGTATGGCTCTTGAAATAAGAAATGCGACAGTGATTATGAACATTGTATCTAGCTCGGTATCTACAAGTTATCTTGAACTATACAATATCCAGATGTCCAAAAAAAACAAACAAACAAAATATATCAATTAATTCAATAAAGTGCACTGGAAGTAAGGGAAAAAGAACACTGACCACTTCTTTCTGGGCCATCAAGGCCTGATACTGGGCCTTCTCAGCCGCCATCTCTTCCAGCCTCGTCTCCTCCTGACTCCTCATCAACTCAAAAACCTAACACGACCCGCAAGCATAAAATTTACAGATTAATCCAAAAACAAAAGTTTATCTTCATCACTGAGGCAAATGATCGAACACCTGCTTGGCAAGAGGAGAACTGTTGATTTCCCTCAAAGCCTTCGCTCCTATCTCGAGCGCTTCAGCGTCGAAACCACCGGAAGAGCTCGGTCCTCTCTCGTCGGCGAGGCGAACTCGGCGGTGGCGGCTTCATGACACCGCGCGCGCGCTGCCACCGCCGTTGGCGGCCAGCGAGAGGATATCAGGCGGTGCATTTTTTGGGTTTCGGATGGTTTCGTTTGGTTTCTTGGGCTTTAAGAGATCGCCGCCGTTGAAGGGGGTTTCTCAAGTTTCGGGGGGGTTTTGGGAGGGGTTTTTCTATGATTTGTTTAAATTACACAAAAGCCTGTAAGCTTTTAGTTTTGCAGTAAACCCCCCATGAACTTCCAGAATTACACTTGAGCTCCGGTAACTTTTCAAATTGCAGAAACCCCCAGGAACTTTCTGAGTTTTGTACAAAACCCCCTATATTAGAACCAACAACAAGCGGCATGCATTTTGAACGTCGTTGTGGTTTAATGTAGAAAAATGCCTTAATGACCTAAAATATGGGACCAAGGGAGAGGACAAGTGAGACGTCCCCTCCATATTGCATAATGAGCTAGTCATGCCCCCTATTGCATAATGAGCTAGTCATGCCAGCTCATTATGTAATAGAAATCAGGCCCGGGCCAAGAGGGGGGGTAGGGGGGGCGACCGCACAGGGCCCCATTTCAAAGGGGGCCCCAAATTTTTAAAAATGTCCATAGTATATTTCTTAATTCTTTCCAATAAGTCTTTTGTTTGTTTAAAAAAGGACCTAATAATCTAATACTAGCCCACTAAATTAAATAATAAGCCTCATTTTATCATTTCGCACAGGGCCTCAAAAAAGCTTGGGCCGGCCCTGAATAGAATGGGGGACACCTCACATGTTCCCTCATATGGTCTCATATTTTGGGACCTTGTAGCAGCTCTCTTTACTGTAATTTAGGGTGCCACGGTAATGAAAGAGCTAAATTTAGGGTATCAAAGTGAAAATAAACCAATTTGTTGCCTTCTATATATTTAAGCATGCGCTTCGTTTCCCCCTCTCTCTCTCCAAGCCACCGCCTTCTCCCCTTTGAACTCATTAATTATCCATGATCTCGGCGGAACAAGGCGAAGGTAGGCTCCTCTTTACCCTTTCTTCCCCCATTTCTCTTAAAAACTGTCTTTTTTTTTATTTCCCGTGAGTTTTGTATGAAGATTGAATGTTCTTGATGTGGTGATGGTAAAGTTTGGATTTTTAAATATCGTCATATTATTCCTTTTAGTTATTATTACGTTCAAATTAATTAAGACCCTTAGTTTAACCTAGTATTGCATGCTCACATCACATACACACAATTTTCTGTGAGTAACTTGCCCTCCTTTGCTCTGTGGGCAGAAGACTCTGAATTCTCTCGCTATTTTTGGAGTGTTTTCAAAATCACAGCAGTAGCGCAAACACGTAAGCGTTTTTCCGAGTATTTTCAGAAGAAAAATGCCTTATTAAAGGATCAAAAAACATGGGATCCTATATGGGACATATGAGGTGTCGGCTCATTGTCACGACCTCACCGTCTCCATTATGCAGCATCATGAGACGGGGAGCCGACACCTCACCCGTCCCATGTAGGGTCCCATGTTTTTGGGTCCCTGTAGCACCACCCTTTTCAGAAAGAAAAGAGATGTCACCTCCTGAAATTAACTGCAGATTTCCATAAAAAAACTCAGGTCCATTTCTATTGCAAAAAAAAACCAGATTTAAGCCAAAGATTCAAACTTTAAGCAAAATTAAGCAATATATAGAAGAAGAAGAAAAAAAAACTGTTATCAAAATTACCTTCCAAATTGTCGATCGAATCTCAAACCCATCAAGAATGCCTTGAGATGCAAATCTCCTCGCTCCCACCGAATCAACAACTTTCTTCGATACACACATGAATTTTTTTTTTTTTAACAAGAAATTAATGTAAATAAAACCCTAAGAGCGGTGGCCGCACCTCAACCAAGAGTCATAACCGGAGAGATCTCCATCAGCAGAGCTACGAACAGGCTGTGCCCATGCGGAATGATATCATCGTTTAGTTACCGTGGCAGTCATCAAAGGTGTCGTGGCCATCGTCGAGTTTTAACGACCAACGCGTAAGGGTTAACAGCTAATTCTTACGTCTAACAACCAAACTCGTATGTTTCCTGACAAATTAGCTCGCACGTTTAACGACCAACACATAAATTTAATAACAAACAACTAAGCTTAATATCTGATCATAAATTTTAACAATAAACGAAAAATGCTTAACATCTAACTTTTATATTTAACATCTATCACTTAAAATTAATGAGCAATTTGACAATAAATGCGATTATTAACATATTTTCGGGAGCTTTCTGGGTGTTGTGAGAAGTTGAAGCATTTTCCCCTTTTCTTAGTTAAAAATATATATATTCTCCTCCGGCATCAGTACGTTGTTGATTTAGTTAAAAATATATATATTCCCCTCCCTCTTTTTTAAAGTCGTTTACTATGTCCCTCAATAAACCAACATATGTAGTTGTTGAATCCATTATTGTCTTTTTTTAAGCAGGTATTTTGTGAATGGTAATAATGAAGAATTTTTTTACGAGTCAGTCGTCTTTGAACGAAAACACATTTTGTTACAATAGCTAGTACTAGTTTGCGGTCCGTGCAAAGCACGGTATTTTTTTTTCTACACTAATCTCGCTTTTTTAATATGGCATGATTTGAATTTTTAAAATTGCTATAATATCCCGCTCTACTACAGTACCTTTTAAAATGCTACAGTATACCCGTGTGCCACAGTAATATTTTTAATTAATTATTAGCTACAGTAATAATGCTACAGTAAATGCTACTGTAGCATTTACTATATCATGAACAGTGAATCTTTGATCCTCCTATTTGTATAAAGGAATAGATTTGCTCTTGATATAATATATGATACCGTACACGATATAGACTTGAAATTGTTGGGATATTGTCTTATCTTTTTTTACTTATTATTGTACCAAGTTGAAACTGAATGATGTTAATTATTTTCATATGTTATTAGAAATGACTTCGGGACCTGACGGTATATTAATCCAGATCTATATCTTCCATAATGTACCCTGAAATATTCCTTAAAAAAGATAATATATCCTGGAATGCATTTTTGTAGATTTGACATATATCATATAAAATAAGAGAAAAAAAAGAATATCATGTATTATGGAGTATGAAATGAAATACTTATAGTCCATATAGACACTAGTGTTTTTTGGTTTCTACGGCTAACTAGGGCTCAATTTTTTTTTTTTTTTTTTTGAAATAATAAGCAGGGTGAGATAACCTACTCCTGGATATATGAATATATATTAAAAAAGGAAAACAAGTAGCTGATACAAACTGACAATCTTACAAAATTTGGAAGTGAAAAGAGATCAGAGGAAGATATAGGGAGTGAGGAGCGGACCTTGTCGTCACCCACTCACCAATAGCTTCCATGATATCAGAAACTCCCGGTATAAACTCAAAGTATCACTTAACCTAAAAACTGAAAACAACGATATCATCAATGGTTTATATTCATATAGTTTTCCTATAAGCGCTTCATTGATGGCTATCTATGTTGATAACATTGTTTATTAAACTGTATAAGCACTTATATATATTGTTTCATGCAGTAGCTATTTTTATTTAAGAATTTGGCGGTAAAATGTAATACTAAAAGCTAATAATTCAGCTTAGTAATATCTCATTATCGAGATGGCTGGCTAAATTTTGTCAAAATGTGCATCATTGATTTATTGTTTATACAGTGGATTGGCTTTAGTACTCTATTATTTTTAGTTTTATCCATTAAAAAAAAGGAAAAAGAAAAAGAAGAGAAAGGCGATGTTCACATATATAGGAAAAAATTTGTGACATATTAAACATGAACAATTACAACAAAATATTCTCCCCTGACATCGTTTAAAAAATATAAATACATTGTTTAGGAAGAGAATCACAAAAATCAAGTAGCATATATGTGACATACAAACATCTCACCACAATAATGAAATTAGTGTTTGACTTGATTCAAAATACTGAAATGCATCATAATGGAGACCTATTTGTGGCTCCATAATAGAGACATTTAGGGGTTGTTTAATCGCAAAAAAAGATGAAAAAAAAAAGCATGGAAAAGAGTGGAAAATTGAGGCACAAGGAAACCTCAAAAAAGTTCACACATAAATTTTTTTTCCTACCCGTTGTTCCCAAACAACTTTATGGTAAACGCGTGAAGAGAATGTGTGACACCTATAAACCCATTTCTGAGCTTTTAGCTCTGAAATGGGTTGGAACACAATTACTAAACATTAGAATAATAAAAGCACTGTTTGGCAACCAAAAAAATTATCTTATCTAAGAGCTTATGTCTTATTGACTTGGTCAATAAGCTAGTAGAGCTGTTTGGTGACAAAAAACAGGAGGAGATTATTTTGGAGATTGTGTCTTTTGCAAATAGCTTTTGGAAAGCTATCTCAAGTAGCGTTTGTCTTTGGGAAGAAGCTGCCAATTTTTTTTCTTCCGTTTTTGCCCCTAATAATTCTAATTTTATATCAATAATATTGCATGTCTTTTTTAGTCATTTAACAAATTTAAGCTAGTTGTACAGCTACTTTTGCCAAACAGCTCTAGTCTTTAACAAATTTAAGCTAGTTGTACAGCTACTTTTGCCAAACAGCTCTAGTCAATCAGCTAGCTACACAGGTAACAGCTTTCAGCTACAATTTCACAGCTTTCAGCTAGCTTAACAGTTTTCAGCTATAATCTCGTAGCTTTCAGCTAGTTTTGCCAAACAGAGCCAAAAACGTTGTTGAACTTTGCGACAAACGTCTTTAAAAGCTTTGATTTCCTCTTTTTTAGTTACCAACCAAACAATTCCACACTTGATTTAAGACGAAACAAACACAAAAATTATATTTCCAAGAGAGAACTTAGAAAGGCACGAGAATATGTTTTTTTGCATGGAAACCTATTTCTTATAATTTATAGAAACCAACCAAGCAGCCCTTTAGCAAAACAAGGAGAAAGGGTTCTGAAGTGAACGGTAAGAACTGAGATGGCTCCATAAATGTGTTACAGAATCTAAAATTTACATAGGACAAGCCGAACCCACAAATTCTCTGGTTGCTAAATAGAAAGAAATACAACATTTGGTAGTATAAATAAATTATCTCAAGCTTAGTTCAATATCATCATCATCATCCATGTCTTGATCGATTGAGGGTGGTCGAATTCTCCTCCCTTCCCTTGATGCAAATCTTCCTCCCTTCTTTGGTTTTCCTCTGCCAAATCAAAGCCAATTTACAGCCAATATCAATTTGTATGTACATCAAAGAAAATATGTTTTGAGTAAACCCAGTTTCACTTTGTATTTACCCTAGTTATTATATTCAGTTAAAATTTACAGGTTAGTGCATGCATGCCTTTTTTTTTTTTTTACGAACCACACATTTTTATGCATTTGCAAAAGGGTTATCACTTTGTTCTTGAACTTTATACAAAACGTTAAACATTATATAAACGTAGTTTTACACAAGTCAATTTTCATGGCATTTTCCACGTTAGTCTTGAGTGTATAAATGAAAATAAGTAGATATTTCAAATATGTAATACAAAGTATAAACAAAGAAGTGTCTTTAAAGGGTAGGATATATGTTCAAGGGGGTTATGATTGGTTTTTAAAGTGAAATATGCATTATATAATTGAGGAAACATTTGAATGAGTGGATGCACACGACCAAGGAGGGTCCAACAAAGTCTTAGTGTCTTGTATGGGCGTCGGAGTGTCGGGTACAGCTTCATGACAGAAGTACCTATGGTACACAGGCCACAACATAACAAATGATTTTACATCATCTAGATTCTAAACTGTATTTTGACTTTTTCAGACTTTATTTTTCAGTCTCTCAGAAACATCTGCCAAATTACGCACCTTCATTTCTCAAATTTTAATTTTTACAAGAAGCAAATAGTTTCTGGTTTCAATGTTCTAAATATTAATGAAGAAAATAGCCATTCGCTCAAAAGCAAAACTAATCTTTTCATAATTTTAAGAAAAAAATATCTTTAATTTAAACTAGTCAACATTTAGAAATGGTGCACAATGGAAGCAAATAACATGTCTAATGCTTGATGAAAGTGCACTTACTGTCCATTTGAAAAATAGCTTCCACCTTTTGAACGACCTGAACCATAATCAGACCTTCCATCTGAAATGAAGTACAGGGGTTTTGGCATCAATCTTTTCTTTAGATACGAGTACTATTAATATATTATTACTGCAGGCTTACCATCACGCCCCACTAAATGTTCTTCAACCTGAAAAAGGAGAATATGCCCGTCAAGTAGCTTGTTCTACCCATTTAGGCTGTGAAGTCAAGCTGGAATTGAAAAATGTTCTAGTAACAAGAAGACCACATTACTTCACAATATTGGCAGTATAATACTAGTAAGATTTGTCCAATTCATGTAAGATCTGATCTCGTTAAGGTTAAAGAATCAGTCCAGACTGATTCATGGTATATAGTTGAGTTCAGATTTTGGTTTAACTCAATAGTGACATGCAGTTCTAATTTAGTGCTTTAAAAAATATATCTGTTAGATATAAACTTTTACCTCAGATCACTAGTTTTATGTGTAATATAAACCTAACAACTAATGTACGTTGACATTGAGCATATTATATAACTTGTGCACAAGAAATTTGAGCAGGCATCCATATTCAAATGGTTATCAATTTCTATAAACATAACTATAATAGAGTAGCAGATGACGAATAAACTTTGAACCAAGTGTTCGGATTTGCTCTTCATGCTTAAGAGTCAAGGCAAAATACGTATTTGAGTGTTATATGCTGTTATATCCAATATTATGTATTTGAGTGTCTTTAAATGGGAAACAATATACATACAGCAGGTGAGGTAACTGATGACAAGGAGAATAGCCTATCTTCGGGCTGGAACTTCCTGGACCGCTTCATGCTGAAAGCACAGCATTAAACAAACTTCATGTTATCATACGTATGATATCATGTAATACAATTACAGCATCACATACTAAGCCATATTATTCAAGATGTAGTTTTGTATAATACAAGAACGGAAAAGCCACAATAAGTGATCAAACTAACTGTGATTAAGCTACTTACTTGGTGCTCTTTGACAATGAGAGAAATCCTTCAAAACCTTTCAGCACACTTCCACATTGACTTGACTCTTGCAGATAGCTAGTTTCCAAGTCATAGACCTAAAAAACATAGCAAAGACTCAAAATCATAAGATCCTAACATTTAGTTAATATTTGCCAAATAAGAGTCTCACAATTACAAGAGTGTAATAATAAAAGAAGGGATATGCGTCAATTTAAAAAACATGTTATCTGTTATACTTGTTATTTCTACAGCCGTATATTTTATACTCACTTCAAGTGAAACTTCTATCTTTTGGTATCACTTGAAGTCTCTTCTTCACAATTTAAAAGTGATATAAAAAACTTAAGACTTTCTACAAAAAAAGACAAACTGAAATTGCAATAAAAAACTTTTCTTGCAACTTCTTTGTTGCAAATCCAATTAAGTTTTTTCTTGACCACTATGCATTAACATGAAGCCATACTTCCAGACGAGACAATTCCCACACTCTACAAAATAAAAGGTTGAAAGTAAAAAAAGGCATCTAAGAGAAAACCTTAAGGCTATCTTTGGTTTCAAAGAAAGCAAGGGAAAGGAAAAGTGAATCAGGATATTACTTGAGCTCACCATTTTACTAAAAGGAACTAAGAAGCAAACGAAATTGGAGCAACATTTCCCTTCCAATTTCAAAGTGAAATTCTAAATAGAAAGCAAAATGAAAGAAAACAATTACCATATACCAGTTACTTTCTCTCTATATAAACAATCAATGATCTCTTTTTCTTGGTCTATTTGGTGTTAACATAATTCCTGAATTTTTAGGATAAATGTCAAGATGTTCAGCAACTGAGGCATGGAGACATCAAACGTTTGTTAGAACTCTCCATCGCAAGCACGACGACTTTTGCCAGAGGATTAGACTGAATTCTCCGCATTTTCTTTACTTCAGTTATTCCTTTATTTCTCTTTTCCATTTTTATTGTTTTTGGCTTCATTCATTTCTTATTGTAATTTGGTTTCACTATTTCCCGATTCCTCCATATATATATATGATCTCAATGACACTATGGATTGTATACAAACAAAAAAAAACCATATTTGGTTGTAGTTACTCATGCATCAAGTGATTGTAAAATTAACGATTTTATGACAATATAACTTAGGAGACAATGAAAATATGTGTTGGAGGTGCTTGCTTAGATTGAATATAAGATGCCACCTTATGAACACTTTTTCATACACACACACACACACATATCAACGCCACTATGGCAACAATAAAAGGTGACTGGTATTAGGGTTAGGGTTACCAGTATCACATTTCTTGAATCCTTAGGTGTAAAGAATGATGAAATTTCATTAACGAATCCATGCAAGTCTAGCATTACTAAATTTCTCATAGGGAAACCCTCACATTAAAGCAAATATTCTACCCTCCCATCTTTTTTGTCATGACACTTAGCACCAGCACATATTAATACAACAATGGATCAACTATCTTAAAATATTGCTAAAACTCATCTATAGACAAGAAATTTCATAGTAAAGTTCCAAACCTTCTGGTCAAAAATTACAGAGAAAAAAAAAACCCTAGCTTTAATCAGGAAAGGGAGCAAACCCTACTTGTCTCTCGATCATCCGGAGCTCCTCGTTGAGCTTCTCTCGCTTGCCCAGCTGCGTAGTGAGCATCGCCTGAGGATTTGGGGACGCCCTTTGCCCTAATTCCGAGAATTTGATGATTAATAGTACCCTCAATTTTAGGAAATTCTGAGGGAGACTAATCGGAAAGGGCAAAGAAATTGAGAAATTAGAGAGTTTTCACAAGGGTTACCTTCTGAATCCATTTGATCGCGGAGGTTTCGATTTTTTTTAAAATAAATTCAAGCCCGAATTTACAGGATCAAAATTGTACTAGTTTAGGAGTAGTATTTAAACTCGGCATAATTAGATAATTACAAAAGGACACCTGACTTTAGAGAATTTGCAACTTAACGCTGTAAACTTGCGTTATTTATTACTGTGGGAACTGCTTTTTTGTTTTCTCAATGTAATAACACATTGTGGGAGGGATCAATTCAAGAGTTATTATTTACTCTTACTATTAGGGCCTGTTTGGTTCAATAGAGTGTATGAATAGGATTAGGAATCCTATTTTATTTATGGATTCCAATCTAATCCATAAAATTTTTAAAAAAATTCCTTAATGACCCAAAATATGGGACCAATAGAGGGGACAAGTGAGGTGTCCTCTTCCTATTGGATAATGAGTTAGCCATCATTAATGATGGCCAACTCATTATCTAATAGGAAGGGGACACCTCACTTGTCCCCTCTATTGGTCCCATATTTTGGGTCCCCGTAGCAAAGCTCAAATTTTTATAGACAAGTTGAAGTTTTATGGAATCCTATTTTTTTGGCATTCTATGTTTGTTTCACCCAAAGGATTAGGAATCTAATATTTATAGAATTGGTCCAATTCCTAATACCATGTTTGCTTCAAAAAGGCTCTTTTTTGGGAATAAACACTGTAGCAACAGCAGCCTCTTTATCAATTTAAAAATTCCTGTAGCAACGGCTAGAAGAGGCCATAATTTCATAATTTGTGCTGGAATCACTGTAGCAACGGCTCTTTTCAGCCTCAAAAAATACAGATTTCAAAAATCTTAGTCAGAACACTGTAGCAACGGCTAGAAGTGGAACATGGTGGCTATAAATTCACCTTGAGGCCTCACAATTAATCCAAACATTCTCAATTTCAGCATTTATAAAATTCCCATTGTCTTCAATTTGCTGTCCCGACATGAAAATGATATCAGAAGAGTGCTGGCAGGATTATGAAGTTTATTGCGACTGCCATCTCCGAACACCGATGAAAGTGTGCAAGAATGGTAAAAATAAGGGTAGGTGTTATTGGGGGTGTGCAAAATTCCCAAATAAAGAATGCAATTTTTTCGAATGGGCTGAAGAAAGAGGAGAGTCATCAAGCAACCAAGGAAGCCAATATGTCAAAGAAAATAGGTACGGAGAAAAATATATTTTGCAATCAAAGAAGCTGAAGAAAGAATTGAGACTTGTCGAAAATCAACTACTAGTTTGGAAAATTTCTGCAATTTTCTTAGCAATTTTTTGTGTTATTTTAATTATTACAAACTTCATGTCATGTACCTGTACTTGCAAAAACTACTGAGGATGTAATGAAAACTGTTGTTTGAACTGGGTACAAATTCTTATTGATATTGTATGGCTCAGTAATAGATCAACTTGTCATCATTGATTGCCCCACCTATAACTTAAACATGTTTATTACAGATTGCATTATAAGGATGAATTGCCTCGCCTAGACATTGTCAATTCAATGTAGGCTGCAATCTCATCTCAAATATTGCCTCATCTGGATATAATAAACGATGTAAGTTAGGTTGCATTCTCAGTAAACGTTGATCATCATCATTGCCACATATCAAGTGCAAGGAAAACCACAGGCAAGGCAAACCAACCAGCAGCAGCAGCATGAGTTGCACAAAGCTCAAAACAGGCACAAACCAACCAGCAGCAGCAGCAAATGCTGCACAAACAAAGGCAGCAGCATGAGCTGCAGAAAGCTCAAAACAGGCACAAACCAGCAAGAAACAGCAACCAGCATGAGCTGTAGAAAGCTCAAAACAAGCACACAATAACCACCACCACTAGCAGCAAATGCTGCACAAAGCAACAAACCAGCAACAAACCAACCAGCAGCAGCAGCATGAGCTGCAAAAAGCTCAAAACAGGCACAAACCAACCAGCAGCAGCAACAAATGCTGTACAAAGCAACCAGCAGCAGCAACTGCTGCAGGAAGCTCAAAACAGGCACAAACTAGCAACCAGCAACAGTATGAGCTGCAGAAAGCTCAAAACATGAACAAACCAACCAGCAGCAGCAGCAAATGTTGCACAAAGCAACCAGCAGCAGCAGCAAATGCTGCACAAAGCAACCAGCAGCAGCAACTGCTGCAGAAAACTCAAAACAGGCACCCACCAGCAACCAGCAGCAGCATGAGTTGCAGAAAGCTCAAAACATGAGCTAAGTTAAACAGAAGCAGCAGCATGAGCTGCAGAAAGCTTACCTGATATCAAAATATAATCGGAAAATTCAAAGAAATCAATGATCATTCCACGACCTTACCTGCAACAAAGATTGCAAATATACCAATTCATCAATCCCAGAACGACATAGATGTTCTTCAGAATGAAAATACAAATTGCAACATTAATAGTTTGCAATAAACACAACAATATCCATCAAAATATAATCGAAACCCAACAAACTCGCTATCCGGCCAACCTTGGTCGTTAACTAATTTTGTGATATACCTCTGTTGACCTTCCTTAGATTTAATGAAAAACCTCCTAGCTTCACGTTCATTGTCATATAAATGGTCTAAAACCCTATCGAGGAACTCCTCGGAATATTCAGACCTATGTTCCTTCAACGCTGTGGCCAACTGCTCAGTCCAGTGTATAACGTGTTGATTTCTCATTGACTGAGACATGGACTCAACAAAGGCACATAGCATTTCCTCTTCACGATTAGATTTTCTGGTTTTTTTGTTAGATGATGAAGTCGTGTTGTCTTTACTCTTAGTCTTATATCTAGTGGGTTGTGGTTGGTTAACAGCACCAGAACGTGGTTGGTTGCAAGCATCAGACTGTGGTTCAGCTTCACTCTCCTCTAGAATCTCGCAATCATCATCGGGAATAGGTATGGACCTACTAGACCCAATGTTAGCATACACGGGTCTAACAAAATCACCCTTGGCTTGATCATCACCCATGATAGCTTGTAAATTTTTTGAAGTGAGGAAGGGGTTTGTTTATGTACGCTTTGTACTTAGAATTGGATTTGTCCTGCAATAATAAATACTTATAAATCCAGAGAATCAAATGTATTAAATTGAATATGACAAGATAGATGCTGAATTTGTTATACCTGGGCCTAAGATTTCAAGGTTTCCTCATCCAATGTAATCATTTTACTTGTTTCATCCCACCCAGCACCACTTATATCAAGGCAAGCTTTCATGTCATTGAATTTGTTCCGCAAACATTTCAAGTGGTTAATGACATGCAGGTGAGTGAAATCAGTCCTGAATTGCATGTTGATTTTCATGGCAGCCATTTTATAAGCTTCAGCCTTGAAGTTCTTGTCTGGCTTCATGCCATCCAATGCTAAATCTGCAAGATAAGGAATAAGCACATCATCGTGCTCTGGAAGCCAAAACTTATTAGCCACGCCTCTTGAGTTCAACCTGGTACACGAAACTTTTTTTTATGGGCTAATCTTTTCCCTCTTTTCAATGGCGAAGTGTGCTCTGTACCATCAACGTCATGAATATCCTTTCTAACTGAATCACCGGTGTTCGGTGAAAATTGATTAGGTCCACTACTTTGAGAACTGGTTGTGGGAAACATCAAACCTTGTGGACTGCCTAACAAGCTCATGTATGACATTGGCAGCTGTGTCATCCCACCATAATTACCATCCCATGGTGGGAATGGTGAGAAAGTATGCTGAGGTGAGGTGAATGGCTGTGGTCGAACAGGCATGTAGTTCATGTTAATCCCTGATGTAGGACTTGGCATTGCATTCGAATGAGAAGGCACGCTTTGCTTATCTCCCGTATTGTTAGCCATACCTAATATATTTTGTAAGCATAGCCATATTAACAATAAAGAACTATAAAACAATATGGGATATGTATGCATTTAGCAGGGAATATAGTAAACGATGATATTTCTAGTTCAAACAACATAACAAAATAGCAAGTGATAAAAGTAGTAATGGTTTGTTACAAGCAAAGAAACAATAAACGATATCGATGCGAACAGTATGTTAAAATTCACCAAGTTATTACATAGCCATAGGACAAATGCCACACTAAGTTAAACCGCTCTCCATTGTGTTACCACCATTGTACTTTGCACAATAATCCACCCACATCGCCCAAGCAATTTGATCTCGTAACTCCTTCCATTCATTTCTAACATCTCGATCCTCTCTTTGTGACCTACTTTGAGTATAGTCCATCACATTTGAATCGTCCTCATTTGTCTCTTCCCCAGTATCTTCATCAATTTCAACCTTTTCATTTAAAATATCATCATCCGGATCCTCCAAGGCAATAAACTTGTGCAACACAGTACACGCTAGTACAATGTCCACTTGAGTGGGAAATGGATAATTCGGCTTTCCCGCAAGAATTTTAAACCGATTCTTCAGTATCCCAAATGTGCACTCAATTTTTGATCTTAAAGATGAATGCCTTAAATTGAACAACTCCTTCCTATTCTTTGGTGTCCTACCGGTGTGCTCTTTTAAATGATATCGGACACCGCGATACGGGGATATGAAACCTGGCATTGTGGTGTATCCAGCGTCACATAGGTAATATTTACCTACATTAATTAAACAGTATTTTAAAATCTCAAATATTGCCAAGTATTTAATATATTATTCATAATGTGCACAAGTGAGAATGAATACCATCGTAAACTCGGAGCCCGTAAGGCTGTGGCCTGGACAGGGCGTCTTGTAATACCCTATAATCATTTGCTGCCCCCTCCCAGCCAGCCAAGACATAAGTAAATAGTTTATTGGGGGTGCAGGCTGCTAAGATGTTTTGGGTGACCCCTTTTCGCCCTCTAAACCGTGCAACTAGGTCACTAGGTAACACCGCGTCGACGTGTGTGCCATCTATCAAACCAATGCAGTCCTATAAAAAATTATAAATTATACATAGTTAAATAAAAAAAAGTTTATTTGGAAAATTATTAAGTTGTATGTATTTAATTTACCTTAAAGTACGGAAAATAATTTGAGTTGTTTGCAATCTCCTCGGGAACTTCTTTTGGGGCTTG